CCAGCGCATTAAGTCAAGTATATCGAGTATAAATTATATAATTACATATATATACTGGGGCTAATTACGCATTTTCTCTGGCAGAACAAGGCCAATGTTTCATTTAGCTTTCGTCCAAACTAAACCAAAATTTAATTACTACCATTAGCCCTACAAATATTTGTATTAATACGCATGATATTTTTTTAGTTTTCGTGCTAACAGAGACACAACACACAAACAGGTAAAAACATAACCTACTGGCGGAGTATAAGTATTTCCATTTCAACGATTACACCATTTAATAGACACAATACAAATGTCTGACATCTATACAACATATAGCTATACTTACATAACTATTAAATGAAATTGTGTGGAATATCGTTACACATATTGCATTTGTGTTCCCAAAAATCATTTATCTTTAATCACAGTTACTTTAGTTTAGTGAGCCACACCCACTGAAGACGCATCTACAACACTGAACTCACAATAAAAGTTGATAGAGATTATTTTTTAATTCAATGATTGACTTGACAAGTGCAAATATGAAAATTAAAGAACTGAAAGAGAGTAACCCTTCAATTTCTCATTAAATCAGATGACCGGATGCTAAAATTTGATTTATTGTCAATTAGGGTAGATTTCTCCTACAAAATGAAATATATGGTTTCCTCAACAATCAATTTAATGCTTTCCGAAACGTTTTAAGGTTCGTATAGTAGCTGGAGGGTTTTTAATTATTTAATAACAACAGGGAGATTGAAAGTACTCTTATAATGGGTGCTATAAGTGGCAAGTTTTCATATCTTGGACACATCTTAGTTTATTTTCCATGAAAAAACATGACGTCACAGCCGTCACAAGGTCTACATTGAGTATTTATTACTGATGTAGTTAGCCTGAACAAACAAGCAAGCAAGCAAGCAAACAAACAAACAAACAAACAAACAAACAAACAAACAAACAAACAAACAAACAAACAAACAAACAAACAAACAAACAAACAAACAAACAAACAAACAAACAAACAAACAAACAACAAACAAACAAGCAAACAAGCTAGCAAGCGAGCGAGCAAGCAAGCGAGCGAGCAAGCAAGCAAGCAAGCAAGCAAACAAACAAGCAAGCAAACAAGCAAACAAGCAAACAAGCAAAAAAGCAAACAAGCAAACAAACAAACAAACAAACAAACAAACAAACAAACAAACAAACAAACAAACAAACAAACAAACAAACAAAACAAACAAACAAACAAAACAAACAAACAAACAAACAAACAAAACCAAACAAACAAAACAAACAAACAAACAAACAAACAAACAAACAAACAAACAAACAAACAAACAAACAAACAAACAAACAAACAAACAAACAAACAAACAAACAAGACATATTTTACAACATGGGGAGAAAGCCGAAAAATCATAGTGAACGAGCGAACATGTAAGCTTGGGGAACAAGGGAACATGATGAAATCTTTGTGGGAGACATGGGAACAAAGGAACCCCCCCCCCACCTGGAAGACCCTCAGATATCTCAAGCTTGATCTCCAAGACAAGACAAATTTGTGCTTTGGAACAATAGGAGGGGCATCCCTTACATTTTCCCATGGTCCTTAAAGTAGTTTAGCACTGAGTAATAGTGAGAAACGAGTCAGGTAGAGCCAGCCAGAGTCTAAGTGAGTTTATTACCTGCACGATTACCAGATGGTTAAGAAGATCAATGTGAGATTTTCATCTCATACACACAGCGTCTCGTCCATCCTGCAATATGAGAAGATATAGAGGGCTTCAGAAAATGTGGGGGGAAATCTAAAATTGATAAAATCGAGAACAGAGTTGTAATTAAGAGATATTACTAAAAAATAATATACGAACTTGTAATTCGTATGCTCATACAAAACATGTACAAAGTATAAAAAAGTCATTCATAATTCATAATCTAAATAATAAATTATAGTCTGCACACAAATTTATAAGTTCGCCATTTCGATGCCTTTGTGGACACTCACAAGTACCTTGTATTGCTGTCTTACTGCAATGTTTTTTAATATTTTGTCCACAGCCATAGGTTATCATCCAAATGTGTTATCTATCAGTGTAGTTGTGCGACGCATGCGCACAGTAAAATTGGACAATTCAAGAAACTACAGTCCGATAATCCGCAGGAGAAGGAAACGAAAACCCTAACAACTGCATAGATTTCTACTTCAGAAAAAGTACTCGGCTGATGTACAGTATAGATAACATTATTGCAGTGAATACCAATGTTGTACCACAATTACCAAGGTCGAGATAACTGTTAATGATAACACATACTGATAACACTTACTTAACTCCAAATGAAGGGTAAAATTAGGTTAAAAATAGTCCACTAGAGTTAAATTAATTCCCAGAAATTAACAGCTATTACTAGATAAAAATGTCAAAAAGGTCTGCTTTTTGTACAAACAAATTCCACAAAAACGCGGTTCCGTTCACTGTTGTTTTTTCTTGTTTTTACTTGTGTATGAAAAACTTGCTATAAGATTACAAACCTCGCGGACTCAACGTAGACATAACTCAGTTATCTGCTAGCAGAGTGAGTATGTGTAGGTTGCGTGATTTCCATATTTATTTAGCTGCATGTAAGCCACTGGCCAATCAGAAGACACGTATATAGTGAGTAGAATGTATAAAAATTACAATTATAACTATATTTATCATCTGAAGAAATCAAATGGTAAAATCATAGCAAAGATCCTCAACAACGAAAATGAACAATATCATATGCAAATAGCAAAGCTACATGACTTCGCTCACTTCGCTTTGGATGGATGCGGCTCGTATAATTATCATCATGATGTTTATTAGTTTCGTTTGACAAACCAATTATAACTGTTCACTCTAATTACACTCAACACTTCTGGTGAATCAGTGTTTGCATTTAATATTAATTGCTAAAAGTAAATTATGGGTATATATATATACATGTAAAATGATGGTAGTTATTTTTACAGTTTATAATGGTGCATGTTGTTCATGTGTGAATCCTGTTGCCGCCCTACTCTAGGATCTCGTGATCTACCGTACGACGTACTTTTCTACACCTTCGATCACTATTTTGACATCTACAGACAACAGACAACAAACACGTTTTTGTTGAGGAAAAATGTATCTAAAAATACATGATGCAACCTCTTCCTCAGTTTGTGATGCAGTCAACTGAATCAAATATAGAAATGTTTATGATCGGCAAAATAAATGTAAGGTTACCTAACGGCAATCTAAAAATAAAATACGTCAAAAAAAAAATTTTCCAATTTTTTCCTTTTGGAAATATTGATGTATTGAGCAATACATTTAGGTTCCTAAATCTTTTCGTGTCGGCAAGTGCTTAAGTTCCTTCTCAAATGTACTTCAGTGCACTTAAGTTCTCAAGATACACCATCAAAGAATATTAAGACTACGGAAAACATACTCAACCACAGTATCTTGAATACCGGCGAGAAAAAAGAAATAAAAAGAGGTTTGGTTGTAGTTTGCTCCTGACCTTTAGACAATGGCTCTTGTTGAAGTGTAAGGTGATAGAGGCGCCAAATATCTAACACGTAATAGTTTTGGTCGATCATTCAAAGCTCTTTAAGATAAATATTGGCTGTAGATGAACAAACCCAGAGTTATTCATGTAAGCAAATAACAGTAATCTATAGTTGTCAAAATGCTTTTATATTGAACATAAATTGACTAAATCGTAAATTAGTTAATTGCAGTCTACTTGACCTTGAAAATTTATAACTATTTATTCAAAAACAATTTGCTTCAGTTTGAAGAGGATTGTATATATGATTTCAAATTAATATATCTGATTCCGTGCCTGATTAAATACACATTAAAATTAATTTTGAAACACCACGATTATTTATTTTGCCTTATAATTATCAAATTATTTAAAATTAAATAATTGTTGTATTTCAGCAAAACAAATATATAGATTATATTTTACATCACCACCTAAACGTAAAACTAAACCACCTTATACACGTTGTATCACCTACAAAGGTTCACAGTTTGTAATCATTGCTGCATGTACCTATACTGGCACCCACCGATAAAGTCAAAGATATACGCTTTCCTGTGTATCATCTTTTCCCAGGGTAAACAAGGAGTGCTCGGGGGCGGGGGTGACTAGGCGTGGAGGCGGTGCAACATGATAATCATGGAAAATTCCAGTATTTATTATTTGTTCTAGCAATTTCTTCGATTTGTGTGTTTTGAAGATTAAATAATATATTCCGATATACACCCCGAAGCTATTTCATATATTAGAGCCACATTAATGATCAAGAACAGATTACGAAAATTAACATCATTACCGCGCGCATGGATATTTTGAACGTCTTTACCAGAATGCAGAGGCTTGCATGGAACAGAGAGTGGGTAAAGTTTCCTATCGATGATTATTCCTAGAAATACACTTACTAAGCTCATATATAACACGTTATCTGGGACTAAATCTGGCCAAAACTGTCCGAACATAGATTTATATAAATTAATTTTTTAAACACACTACACCGTAGAAGAAATTGCTTGCTTGAAATAACCAATAAATTGGTAGTCTCAGATTCAAAACCAAATCATGAGCTGTTTCAGCTAATTTGTTTCTACAGTGTGGCTACGTTATTCATATCCATACACATGTTGCGCTATAGAAATGCTGATCGTAATCATAGAGGAATCTAAAATGCAGTGTTTATATTTTTAGCAACAAAGATAGTGACCTTAGCAACAACAAAGGAAGGGTGGTGCCTGGTAACCTCGAGATCCTCACCTTGAAAGAAGCTTCCCATGATAATAATAACTTCAGTATTGATGAAGCTACAGAATGAACTAATTGCATAAATGGTGGTATATATCATAAAATGGTGGTATATATATCATATGAATAAAATATAGCCTAGCTGAAGAACTGAAACTTAACATGGTCAATTGAAACTCGTTTAAATCTACCCTTCTATAAGTTACTATTTTCGTGCACTATAGAGATTTCCTATACGATCCTGAAATTGCTGAAAATTCAAGAACATTCAAAACTGTCTGTATCAAGCGTGATACTACCCGAACTCTGGCACAGCCTCTCTACTATCACCGAGCTATTAATATTGTATATGTCCTAATTCGGGCCCGCAGTAATGGCTCACATTGTTGCGGTCACCCAACCTATAACCCATGTCTATTCTGTGCCTATAATCTCTATGGTGAATCTAATAAATAAATAAAGAAAGAAAGAAAGAAACTAAACTATATGTAGAGTTTAACAAAATTAATAAGCCTTTTTAATTTTGCATTTAGATTTAGCTCAGATAGTGGCGAATCTAACCAACAGCAACTAACTGGTCATCCTATGCAAATTTTAAAATTATTGTATTATTCAAATTCAATTTAAACTAATTTCGTATCCAGGTTTATCAGCATGGCATGACGAGTTCCCATGGCGAGCTTCGCCACTGAGATAAGTGCAGGAGCGTTGTAAAGAATGTTTATCGTATCGTATATTTTATTAAAACGAGGGATATTACAGTCACTGTTAACGTTCCTAAAGACTATAGCCATGATGATTTTCGTGCTCATTGGTTTAACCCAATTGAAGTGGGTCTGTGGGTACCAACACCCCTCATCAGCGACATCATGATGTGGTGAAACACAGTGCCAGACCCAGTGTTGTAACGAGTCGAGTCATTCACTCTGACTCGAGTCAACTCGAGTCGCTATTTTCAGCGACTCGACTCGAGTCCAATACGAAAAATGACTCGACTCGACTCGAGTCAACAGCCCCAAATGACTCGACTCGGACTCGACTTGCTGATTTTGCCGGAAATGACTCGAGTCAACTCATCTACAACTTGTACAGAGTAAATTCATCACAATTATTGTGATTGTATTGCTTGGGAAGAACAATGAGCCCTGTAAACAATGAGAACTTTGAAACCTTATCAGAAAATATATGGGATTTGCATAGAATATATTCCTGACGGGCATACCTATATTACATTTCTGTTTTTAGAAACAACGCTAGTGCCACAGTTTTTAAAATTGAGTCTCAAATTTTTTTGTACTTATACTAATTCTGACAGGCTATTTTCATTTTTGGTATTTATGAAGGGCTATATAATTTCAAATTAACATACAAAGCGTTGTTAATTAAAGTCTATTCTTTGTTAATTCTGACTCCAGTTGCAAGTTTTGCTAGTTGTATGTACGTACACTCGATCAGCAGGCATTATGAGACATCTCATGTGGTTGTACGTAATATTGACTGGAACTGCGATATTGGCACAGCCTATAGCTGCCCAGATACTGTTATTAAATGACTAAAGTAATTAGTTTAAAACGCAAATTTGATTACTAATTCCGACTGCAAGCTAGGGGTAGCTCAAGTCAAGTCTAGAAATTGACTCGACTCGACTTAAATCAGTGACTCGACTTGACTCGAGTGAAGCCGCTGACTCGACTCGAGTGAAGCAACTGACTCGACTCGATCAAAAACTGAAATGACTCGATTCGTGACTCGACCTTTGAGTGACTCGACTCGTGACTCGACCTGTAGGTGACTCGTTACAACACTGGGGCCCAGACCACAAGGAGCTGTTAATGATCTGTTTGGATATCTATTACCTGAGAGATTATAAGCTCGTATCTTTCTGGTTATTCAATACATGGGTTGTGGCATGTTAAGATAACAAGCATGAACGCGCGGAAGAGGTTAATTGAACACACCCCTGTCTACAAAAAATTCCAGAACTGTGCAGGCTTT